TTGAATCTAGGAAAGGTGTATTTTAGTAGGGATAATCTATTATCCTAAGGAAAATTCTCAGGATGAGCTGATGTATAAGAATTCAGGGTCACCATGTCTTATCATTACTAGGTTATTTATGGGAGTCTGGATTTTTTTTTCCATCTTCTTTAAGGTTTTAATGTCCGTCTGAGTGGTCAAGATGTTGGCCGTGGAACTTTTAGCCAAAGGCATGCAATGGTTGTTTGCCAGGAGACTGATGATACCTACATCCCTCTAAACCACATGGATCCTGATCAGAAGGGATTTCTGGAGGTAGGATGTTTCCTTATCTACTATAAAATCCAGAAGCTGATGATCATGGTGACAGGATTCTTAAAGCAACTAGAAACAGACGTCAGCAACTTTGGGTTCAATGCTTTTTGGAGTAAAGTGATGTTGAGTGGACAGTGTAGCTTACACATTTGGAATGGAAGTAACATACATGCAAGTAGACTAGAGTTATTTTACTCTGGCTACTTATGTAAATCATGTAATCACATAATCATGTAAATGTCAAATGGGTGTTCATTTGTCAATCAGAAATTGACATAATTTGCATGTTGCTGATTCATTAAAGTTCGTGAATAAAAGATGTGAATAAATAACATCATTTCTTTCCTATTTAAAAAAAAGCCATTTCCTCAGATCACCTTATTATTCCCTAAGGTTTAATAGGCTTGATGAATATATCTATTACCATGTATTTCCATGTGCCAGTTGCTGGGATATACTCGTTAGAGTCAAGGGCAGGGCCTGGGTCTTTTTATTTTTGTCCAACAATCAGCATATGCCTGGAACATAATGTTTATTAAAATAAATTATTCTTTAAGGTACAATTAGTGGCATGTCATCTTTTTCCTACCCTAGTATTCGTTTGAGAGTATAATCTTGAGTTCACTGATACTCAATTTTTATTTAAAAATTTGCTTATCAAAAGTAAAATTTCAGGAAGATTACTTAAAGGACATACAGCTTATCTTTTCTTTAAGTTAGTTTAAAGTCCACCCCTGGATCAAGTCAGATTGATGATCTAAAATGTTTAGTATTCCCCCACCTCACCAATGTCTTTTATTGAATTGTAATTTGATATATAATATCAATTAGCTTTATTGCTATCTGAAAAGCCTCAATTAAACATGTTGCCTCTCTTATAAGGAGGCCGCGAAAGATTTCCTTTTCTAATACCATGTCCTTCATAGGAAGACCCGGTGGTAACTCCTGCTTGATCTTGGTTTGTCTTTATTGTCTGTATGTTATGAATTCTGCAACTCACCAGTGTTCCCTTACCAATAATTGTGTCTATAAGATCAGACACAATAATAAAACAATGCATATATGCACCTTTCCAAAAAAAATATATAATGGCTTCTAGGAAGGGGTAGAGGCCACAGTAACCTTGGTAACAGAGAGTAGGTCACCAGGTTATGTCTTTTCCCCAACTGTGTTCTGTTTCTCAATCTTAATTTCTCCTTTTTCCTTTTACTTACATTTACACTGGCTTTCTCCTCCCAGCAGACAGACAATCAAAGTTATATATCATGTAAACTTACAAGCCATCTTAAATACTTTTTGGAGTAAATAAAAACATTAATAGAGTCAAAAAAATAAAATATACAAGTCTATAAGGTACAATAGATGCATAGGAAAAGGAGCAACTCATCTACCTGGGAAGTCAGGAAAAGCTTGAGGGAAGCCCAGATTTCAGCAGATATTTGAAAGACGGTAGGAGTTGCCTATTCTAATACAAATAGGGAGATTATTCAAGATAGACACAATAGCACATAAAAAACAGCTGTGACGTTAAGAGGACCTGATATGCCTAGGGAAGTACAAATACTTTCATATGACTTGAGATTAAACTGCAAAGTGGATACAGGAGTAAAAAAGAGGAGACAGGCCAGATGGGATTCCCCATGTTGTGAAACCATGGTGGAACTTTGAACAGGCGATCCGATTTTATATTAGAAAGATCACTCCTGACAATACTTTGGAAGCCTACGTTGAAAAAGGATGAGAACTTAGGACAATTGCTAAGGTGGTTTCTCAGTCATCTAGGTAGAAAATCATGGGGCCCTAAATTAGGGCAGTAGCAGTGCACATGGAAGATGGGCCAGATTCGAGAACTATTCAGAAAAACCACAGCTACAGTACTTAATGGTAGATATATGAAGTGAAGAATAGAGACCTGTCTGACTGTCTTCTAGCTTCCTGATGCAGACAACTGGTATATGAAGACAGCATTCACCTGAACAGAGAGTAAAGGAGAGGAAACAAGTTTGGTAAGGAAGGATGATGGATTTAGTTTTGGACATCTGACTTAGAGACAGCCTAATGACACACAAGTTTCTATCAGGCAATTAGTTGTGTATATCTGGAGTTAAGGAAGGAATCTGGTCTTGAGACACAGATCTGGAAGTAACCAGAGTGTAGGAGTATGTGAAACCGCTGAGGTGGGAGAATCTCCCAGAGAGAGAGCAGTATGAGAAGAGGGCCAAGGGCTGGGGTCCTGGGAAAAACATGTAAGATGCTGGCAGACGAAAAACGTTTCCCAAAAGTGCATCCAGGAAGGGAGGAGGAGAAGTGGAGTCACTATATGGTTGAACTCAAGGAAGGGCAGAGTCAGATAAGAACAAGAATCACGTGGTGTTCATTAGGTTGGGCAACTAGAAGGCCAAGGTTGACTGCATATAGAGCTTTTTTTTCTGTGTCGGCTTGGCTATCCCTTTATTTTTATATAGAGCTATTTTATTGGAGTCGTGAAAGCAGAAGCTAGATTATACTAGTTTAAGGATAAACAAGAGTTAAGGAGATGGAGAGAAATGAATTAGATAATTCTTTCTAGAAGCTCAACCGTGAAAGGAAGCAATAGAGAACATTGGTCAGGGGAATATTTCTTGTTTAGGTTTTAAGCTTTTGATTGTCTGTCTGCTGGGAGGAGAAAGCCAGTGAGAGGAGGTTCAGAAAAGAGGAGGTGGGTGATGAAGCCAGGAGAAGAAGCTAGAAGAGGGATGGATTTAGAATGTGAGTGGGTATGTCAGCCTTGGGTAGGAAAAGAGAGGAGGAAGGAGATGAGGACAGGTAGAGGTGCAAGGAAAGTGGCCAGTCCAGACCCCATTTACAACACACTCATGAGTCTGAGAAACATAGCGGCTCTTTTAAAAATTAATATGTTATATAGAGTATAACGGAAATCAAAATAGTAACCAGAAGAGACAAATTATACATAATCCCACCATGCTAATAGATCATCTATTTTCATTTTTCTATTGTCATTGAGTGCTTATCTATGTGAATCACAATTTTTGTAGTTGTAATTATCATAGAGATGTAATTTTTCTATAGTTTCTTTTACAAATACAAGATTTATTAAGATATAGAATTCAGCCTTTCAGTGTGTACAATTAAGTGGTATTTGGTGTAGTCACAGAATTGTGTAACCATCACCACTATTTAATTTCAGAACATTTTTATCGCCGCAAAGAGAAACCCCATACTCATTAGCAGCCACTCCCTATTCTTTCCTCCCCACTCAGCCTCTAGCAACCACTACTTTATTTTCTGTTTCTATTGATTTGCCCATTTTGGACCTTTTATAAAAATAGAGTCATGTAACACGTACCCTTTTGTGACTGGCTTCTCTCACTTAGTATCATGTTTTCAAGGTCCATCCATGTCGTAGCATACCTCTGTATTTCATTCCTTTTTATTGCCAAATAAAATTATATAGATACGTAACTTTTAAAAAACATTTTTTTAGAAAATTTTTGAAACAAGCACAAAATTACAAAAAAGTTGGACATATAATATAAAAGGAACCTTTTCTCATTCTGAAACACTCGAAACCGAAACATCAAGTTGGAAACGTCGGGTTGCCAACCTGAGGCCCTAGACGTGTGTTTCCCATAAACAAGGACATTCTCCTTCCTCTCCACAGCACCACCATCCGAGTCAGGAAGGTAACACTGCAACACGGCTGCCCCGTGGTCCTCAAACCTAGTTAAGATTCATGTCGCATTCAATTACCATGTCTCTTTAGCCTCCTCAGAGATATAATTTTACATTCTGCTTTTTGTACATTAACGAATCATGATGGTTCTTTTGATCTACATGGCTCCCCTCACTTGACAGTGTCTCTGCTCTCTTCCTGGCTCTAGGTCAGCAACAGCCCGCTGTCAGAAGAGGCCGTCCTGGGATTCGAGTATGGGATGAGCATTGAGAGCCCCAAGCTACTTCCCCTCTGGGAGGCTCAGTTTGGTGATTTCTTCAATGGCGCCCAGATCATCTTCGACACCTTCATCTCTGGAGGTTGGTGTTGGCATTTGGGTGTGCAGTGGATGCATGGCACCAGCCTGATGGGGACAATTGAACGAAAAGGAACCATAGCTACTTACGAGACTCCTTGTACCACAGACCTGCAGAAGACTTGGGGGTTGCCATGTTACCTGCTGGGACATGGCAGCTGTTAGATAGTTAAATAAGCTGCCGGAGGCCCGGGTGCCACTCAGTGATTGCAGGGATCACCTTCCCATTTGCGGGGGAATGTGCTGGGTCATGGGGAGCAGGGTATGTATCCGCCAGCTCCTAGGTGGTTTGACTTTCAGGTCTGCTCTTGGGGTTTGCTGAGTAGCTATGGCATGAGTCACAAGTAGGCAATGGTGACATAGCAAGAATGTGTGATCGGAGTGAACAGCAGGCTTGAAAATCTGTTTCCCTCAATCCAGGGACACTCAAGTATCTGAACATTAGAACTTGTGCATCTTTATTACTCTTAATCATCATTTATAAGGTAGTCCCTGCTTACCGTAAAAATTCAAAGTATATAAAGTACAAGTCTGAGTGTCCCCCAGGCTCTCACCCCATTTTGGGGGTAACCACTCTTGGATTTTGAGTGTGCACTGCAGATCCTCCCCAGGGTTGTGTTTCTCTGTTAACTTCATGAGAAAGAAAAGTGCCTTGAGGAGATTGGACTTGGACATGTCCAGAGACTGTTCCAAAGTGCCTGTGTCCTCAGCTTAAGGACAGTGGCCTGCGTCGTCAGCAGTGCTATGAGAAAAGGTAGGAGCTGCCCAGTTTTAGTAAGAGCTGTGCCTGAGGTGGAGTCAGAGTGGCCACGCTGTCCTGGAAGCCAGATGTTCACCGTCCAGTTTATCTCACTTGCTAAAGCCCGGGGCATGTGTCATTCTAGGGTCTGCTGGTATAATGGATAGTTTTCTTCCAAGTATGGTGTCACAATGCTTGAGAGTGCATGTGATGAAAACTGTTTTAGGGAGTCAGGCAGCAAAGTAATATTTGTTCCACTCCCCAAGTCACGTCAGACCGTTTTTTTCCTGCTTCATAGAGATCTCACCCCTCCCCCTGCTTTTCCAGGAGAGGCCAAGTGGCTCCTCCAGAGCGGCATTGTCATTCTCCTCCCCCACGGCTATGACGGGGCCGGACCCGACCACTCATCTTGTCGCATAGAGCGTTTCTTACAGGTATGTCCAATGCCTCCTGGACTCGCAGAAATGTTTTCCTGTGTCCGAGGCACTTTGAACTAGAAATGCCTCCTGCGGATCCTTGAAGTGCACCTTAAACTGTTGCCGTCTGAGTGAAACTGAGTTGATGCCCTGGAAATGGCGAGCCTGGCAGCCCAGCCATGTCCACTGAGCTCTGCTCTGAAGTTTTCTTTTTCCCCCGGGGTTATGTACTCACTCACTCTCTCCAAATTGGAGGGGCCTAGTAGGAATTGTCAGCACTTTGTCAGCTCACTCTCTTTTTTCTCCACTGCTTCTGGAGTGGGGTTAGGAGCCATGCTTCAGCTTCCTGTCCCACTAGGATCTTCTGAAACTTAATTCTTTGCCTTTAACTTTTCAACCTTGTTAGCTGCTTTTGTTTTTGTTTTTGCCTTTTAAACAAGCAGACGAACGAACTAAACTCTAATTGTGTTTATTGCATTAGTAGAATGAAATTCTGACAGTACTTCCTTCCACCACCTTAACCGCACAGTAATCAGAATCTGTATTTTTTTAAAAAGATCCCCTCCAAATGCTTCTTGGAATCAGCTGTGTTTGGGAACAACCATGTTAAAATGCACAGACTCAGGCAGATGTGGGGGCCATCAGGCCTCTCCTCTGGCTAATTCTTCATAGGCCGTAAATTTACCTTCTGGCATTTTCTGTAATGGAGGGAAATCTCTTTCTCCTCACTGAGAGCCCTGTTTTCCCTTTGGAGAGCCTTTGTCGTTACAATCGAATGAGATGATCCGAATGTCTCCTTTCTTTCACTTCTCTCCCAGATGTGTGACAGCGCAGAGGAGGGAGTGGATGGGGACACAGTGAACATGGTCGTGGTACACCCCACGACTCCTGCACAGTATTTCCACCTGCTCAGGAGGCAGATGGTCCGGAACTTCAGAAAACCCCTCATCGTTGCTTCTCCGAAGATGTTGCTCAGGTTCCCTGTAAGTGAGAGGAGCTGGTCGGAAGCCTTTCGCCTCTTCTTTTTTTTTCTGCATTTTCCTCTGTTTTCTGTATCTAATTATAGTTCTAAATTTTAATTGGCTTTGCTTCTTTCCTCCCACCACCCCTGTCTCTGCTCTCTCTCCCTCCCTCCTTCTCACCTTTCTAGAGTAACTATAAAGACAGGTAGCGCTCGGTTTCATTGTAATGAGGACATGATAGATATTATCACACTGGTATCCTGGTCTGAGCAGAAATAATTTTTTAGAAGAAATTTAAAAGTACAATGGTATAAGCACTCTATGTTGATGTTAGCAAGTTGAGAATTTAGAATATTTTGATGAAAATGAGTGATGTTATTCATTGACTTTTATTTAGACTTTTTCCATCGAATGATTTATCATAGGTAGATTCCTGTTTCAGTATGCACATTCTAACAATATGGCTTATTGCAACACTTTTAAAAGTACACATTTTTAAAAAGTGTACATTTTCTCTTGGTTTACCTGAACTAAGTATTAAGTATACAACATATTTTTTAAATCACACAAATATACTAGTTTTCAAATGGCAAAGTTTAAGGTAATAAATACTAGTATAAGCATGTATTTATCCCATCTGCTATAATTTTTTTTCAGTTTTATATGAGAGTCTTAAATAGGATTAACATTCAAAAAAACTTCTGCATTTATTTGAATGCTACTACTGAGGTGAAATGTCATTTAGGATTTGGCTGTTTAAGACCATCTCGTTCTCACAGAGGTTCGAGAGTGTGGATTTGGAATGGAAGGGAGTTGAGGAAAGTTGCGAGTGATGTGCTTTCACTGGTTGTATGTTCTGCAGTTTGGACGAGAGTTAGGAGACACTGTCATGGTTGGCTCCTTAAATTTTGCACTGCAGGTACATCACCTGCCTCACCCGAGTGCTGACTCTGGGAGTCAATATCAAACAATGATATTAGACATAGTGTATGTATATTAAGTATTAAGTGAACTCTTAGAAATTTTATTGAGAATCTCTTGCTGTTTGAAACAGAATACGAGTTTATATTATGGACCTACTATTCCACCCCTTGTCCCAAGTCTAATATATACCTTATCAAATAAAAGAGGCTTTATTTGGGAGCCTTGAAAAATACCAACAGCCATCTTACAGATTTTCAAGTAAAAAACTACTCTTATTAAGTAGTCAGATATTTTCACTAAACATTTAAGTCTTTTTATTAATTGAAAATGAGTATAACCATTATTGAATTCTGGTCTCTTCCTAAAAATTCGATTATTGGTACATGTGATCTATCAGAATATAAGTCAACTCTTTCTTTCTTTTCTTCCTTTCCTCTCCCTCTCCCCTCCCTCCCCTTCCCTCCCCTCCCCTCCCCTCTCCTTTCCTTATCTTTCCTTTCTTTCAGTGGCCTTCTCCAAGATGACTTGCCAAGTGGCAAACATGACTCGGAGCTCTAGGCAGTTTGTCGAGTGGTATCTAAATCCCACCCCAATTTCTCACCCAACTCTGAACTTCCCTAGGAAGTGGGAGCTCACAAAGGCAAAGGAGTCTAGTTCAGAATGGAGAAAGATCACATGTTATTTAATAATAAGCATCACAGAATAGTTAATTAATTAGGCCATATCGTAATATACCCATAATGGCCTACTCAAAATGCCATATACCCATTTGGGACTAG